AGAGAGAGAGAGAGAGGGAGGGAGGGGAGAGGGAGGGAGGGAATAAGGAGGTGGAAATAGGAACAGGCGTCGAGATCGGTGGGGAAGGGAGGCGCTTTCACTTGCTTGGGCTCCAACGAGGATCCGGGCAGGCAGTGAGGCGTGCGTGGGGTCAGATTTGCATAGGCCAGCTGGGGGGTGGTTGATGGTCGCTTTGCCGGGGCCCCCGCTGTAGACTGCCCCGGGGCCGGGCCCTCTTGAGGGGGGGACGCGGGGCGATCTGGCCGGTCGGGAGGCCCCCCCCCCAGTTCCCCGCCCTCGGCGCCCTGCCACACGCGCGTGCACCGATACGTGTGCGCCCTCGAAGGGCGGGAGTCGCCCAACGTGGGATCTGCCCCCTGGGAACGGGCTCCCCGCCCTCGTGCCCCTGTGCCGGGGCAGCCGACGGTGGCGGGGCGCCTGCCAGCCACACGCCCGGGGACTCTGGGGCACGCTCCGTGAAGCAGCCTGAGATCCCCGAGTCGTGACACTGATGCCGACGCGCAGCCACGTAGCCCCAACAAACTCTTGTGGGGCCGGCTGGGGTAAAATGGCGCCGACTGGGATGCCGCGGCGTTGCAGCCAAAAAAGCATGTAAACAATAACCAACATCATACAGGACCCCGGGCAGATGCTTCCCTGCTGCTTGGCATCTGCTTGGACGGGCGGCCGGCGGAGCAGCAGCAGCAACCGGGCAGCCAACGGCCCCCCCCCCGCTGACGGATCATCTACCAGGGCTAGCATCGGTCGCTGTGGGGCTCTTATACTCCCGACTGGTGGAAGGTGGGAGCCCGGAAAAGGTGAAATGCGCCCTGTGGGAAAATGCTGACAAACCGTCCGAGTCGGGAAAATCCATGATCGGCGCCAACGTGACTCTACGACAATCGCACACGGCGCGAGTCACAGGCTCGTGGAACGCCATTCATGAGAGTCACAGATCCGCGGCTCTAATTTCCCCGGGCCCCAAGGCCAGGGGAAAATCGCACATTTCCGCCGAAGAGAGCCGCCAGCCACGGCCAGGGCACAGCCGGCTCGAGGGACAGCTGGTCACATTGGGGGCTGCGGCCAGCAAACACCGGAGTGGTGAGCCCAGGCCAGAGGCGCGTCCCACCAGCCGGCCGGAGGGGGGCCACCGCCCCCAGTCCCCCCCCGGGCCCCCTCCCGAGTGTGTGGGACATTGAAAATAGGGAGAAGGCGATACTGCGCGCCCCCGCCCCGGGGCCTTCGTCGTAGAAGAATAGGGTGTGTGTGTGTGCAAGTCGGTCCCAGCGCCGATGAAGTAGCCCCCAACCGGAGATAGAGACCCAGATTACTTTCTCTCCCGGGTCCGCCGGTCTCTCCCCCTTTTGTTCCATGCTGCTTCCCCTCGGAACAAAGGAATTCACCCGCCTGGGCCAGGGGGGGGGGGGGGGGCCTGCGAGGCCCATCCCAAAGCAAGTTTGGATAAGCAGCATCCCGCCCGGGGCGCGCGGCCGCCCCAAGCGTGTGCCGTGTGTGCTCCCTTTAAAGGCGGCCGCCGGAGGGCGATCGGCGTGCCATGTGCCTGGCAGATCTCCTTTTCTCCCCCCCGTCAGATCCCCCCCCCCCCGCCCCCCTCCTC